AGCCAGAGACCAGAAATCCTGATACCGTGGTGACAGTGGCTGTTTCCTGTTCCTGGCAAGACTGAGGTCAACAGAGTAACTACTAGGGAAGAAAGAGAAGAAGTTTGTCTGGAAAGGGTCACCAGGCTAAGGAGGCCATCCAGGTGTCCATCTGAGCCATGAACCTCATGGGGGCCCTAGGTCCATCAGACTTGTAGGTGGAGAAAGGAAGAAGAGGTCAATTGTTGGGCCTTTAAAAAACCAACACCACCTTAAAGTGACATTACAAGTGGATTAACGTGGCAGCCTAAGACGGCGCCGGGAGGAAGCAGGGTGGGATTGTCTGCAGGAACCTTGCCTTAGCCCGTATTGGCCGCACTTGGGAACACTGCGTAATTGCAATAGCTAGGTATTGAGACAGGATGCATGCCCTTAACCCTTAAGCTGATTGGAGGATGTAGAAAACCTGCCTTTGCCATTTACCTTTAAAAGCCAATACTTGGGCCAGCCCAGTGGTGCACTCGGTAGAGTGTGGCGCTTGAGAGCGCGGCGGCGCTCCCGCCGAGGGTTCGGATCCCATATACAGACCGGTCCGCTCACTGGTTGAGCGTGGTACAGGCGCGACACCGAGGGTTGTGATCCCGTTGCCGGTCACGGTACGGGCGCAACACTGAGGGTTTCGATCCCGTTACCGGTCACGAAAAAAGACAAAAAGGAAAAAAAAAAATTAAAAATAAAAAATAAAAGCCAATACTTGTGCGTTAATAAACGGACCTGCTTGACAAAACCCCCACTGCGTCTGAGTGTCCTTTAACTGGGCTGGTTTGGGGCCAGTGGTGTGCTCACCTCTCTTCACGGCTCTCTTCCCCTGTCTCCTTCAAAATGGGACTGGAGGGAAAGAGGAATCCTGGGCCGTTCGCTCGCCCACTAAAAGGAACGAGGCTAGGGCTGTACGGGTTGGCGGCTGGCGGCAGAACCGACAGTCAATTGCAAAGATGGTACCTCGACCTGCAGCTAAAACTGGAGACACAGCCTCTCAGCTGAGACTTTGTGCAGTACATCCCTAATTCTTACCTTCCTGGACTCTTGGGAATTGTGAAACTCTCTACTGATTTCTCAATGCAGTTTCCTTCTCAGAAGTTCAGATGACATATCACGGAACTAACAGATATTTATTTCCCCCAAATATTTGCACCTTTATATCCCCAGTGCCTATTCAGGGCCTGATACATGAAAAGTTCTCACTAAACAAATGAAAGATGTAGAAATAGGAGCTCTGCCCTCAGCATATCTCTTTGGAGCTCAGTTTTCTCAGCTGCA